CATGACGGAGTGAGCCTGTAAATCACTGCACTGACATTCTGTTCTGTCTGTAGTCACAGAGGCTCACTTTGACCAAGTACATGTAGCCTGATGTAACTTGTAAGCAAGGCTGAGAGCGCGGGGGAACAAAACGACACTCTGAGTATCCTTTGAGCTATATTTTAGATTATTGTTATTATTACTTGCATGTACGCGTTGGAGTCAACCATGCAAGCATGATCCACAACTTCGCTTATGCTGAACATGATAAACAGGACTATGACAGGGGAAAGAAATTGAGCTAGAACGATGATAATTATAATGATATAATTATCATGTAGCTCATGGGTATTGAAGATACCAGGTAGGTCATTTATGAATAATATGTCTATATGTCATTGAATATTCCAGCCTGAGTGATAATAATAGTGCTATTTCCTGAGTTTGACTGTTTCAGGATCTGTCGGAATGTCACGATGTACAGATCTTCATGCATAGATCTCGCCATGCGGGTCGGTCATGGGCAATGGCTCGCAGGCTCTGCAGAGTGTCTAGGTTCCGGAGCAATCCAGCATTGGCTTGGCGCAGATCTCCCACCAATGCCTGCGGCAGGGTCGTCCGCGGTCAACCCCTCCAGCATTGCTGTTGCTGATTGGCGAAGTACGCGAACATAGCCATAACAGCTGGGGATTCATCCGCCATCCGCAGGATGTGGCCAAACAGCCTCCAGCGTGATCTCTTGACCATGACACTCAAGGGTTCAGCTTCGCATCTGGCATAGAGAGCATCATTCGGTATTATAGCAATAAAAACTGCTTTATGGCAGTTTTCTAAAAAACGTTATTGTGTTCTAGTCCATGGACGTCCGGACCCCGTCTAAAAAGTAAGAAATTAACGAAATGTGATAGCCGAAAATTAAAATTTCACACAAAACCTCACAATAATCACAACACTTGAAATGCTGCTTTCAACACTAAACTTGTACTGCACCAACAATTGGCAACATGCATGCATAGGAAAGAGGATCACGAGAAGAAAGGTCTTCTACGGTACATGAAGCTTTTCATTCTGTGTGTGATTATTGTGAGGTTTTGTGTGAAATTATAATTTTCGGCTATCACATTTCGTTAATTTCTTACTTTTTAGACGGGGTCCGGACGTCCATGGACTAGAACACAATAACGTTTTTTAGAAAACTGCCATAAAGCAGTTTTTATTGCTATAATTTCTTTTGTTTTTTTCTGTCACCAATTAATGGACTGCCCTACTGGGAAATGATGGCCTTCACATCAATACCGTATTATACGCATGATGTGCAAGCCTTTTCTTGCAGAAAATGGCATTAGCATAATGCATGATCTTCGGCGGGGAAACATGTGAGTCGTGGTCTGGTGGTGGTGATACTTTTTTTATACGGAGGTCATTCTGTGCATGTTGCAACTTGCTGTTGCAGAATTTCATGACTGTCATAAAATTGTCTTGCCTTTCAGATTTCTCCACCCTCGATCAGATTTATTTGAGAAATGTAGCCAGTTGAGTGTCGCAGATGTTTTTGTTGATTCTGTGTTCATAATGGTTTATAATCATGGGTTATCGTGATAAGATCATCCTGCATCATATTGCACTGAAATGGTAATCCTGTTGATGCCGATACAACTTTTGGAAGTAGTTCAATGACTTCAAACTGTTAGTCCACGATTTTCTAAAACAACACAGCAAAGGAGGAACAATAAACATGTATTAAAATGTAAACGAATACATTGCTGAGTCCAAAACCTCGTTCCAACAACTTCACTGATCCTGAGGAGAAAAGGGGCAAGGCTATGGTTGGATGTACTGAGAGATAAACAAGGCACTCCACAATAATAAAATCTTACACATCTTTTGGTGAGTATGAATGATATCCAGTCGAACCTCTTTAGGACGAACACCAAGGCCAAGGGACCGATGGTATTTATTCTGTGAGCTTAACCTATTTTATAACCAGAGAATACAATTATAACTCCAATAGACATACGAATAGATTTCTTCTACAGTGAAAGATTCTAAGCCACACCGACTCGTCTCGTATGAAACAATTGAGTCACTAGAGAGATTCTGCAAAACGAAAATGCGTACAAACTTTCGCTCTACATCATGAAGTGCGAAACTTCGCACCTTTGGACGCGAAACTTCCAGGGAACACGAAATGAACTGTCGTAGGAAATTTCGTGAGATCGGGTCATGGCGTACGAGCACTTGGCCCGCGCAAACTACGAAAATGTGCAGAACGCAAAGTTCGTGCAAAAATTCGCACACACTTTCGCAAGGACTGTCGCGAAACATCGTTCGAATTTTAGTTTTGCAGAACCTCTCTACTGAACATTTCTTTAGGAACATGACGGCAACTGAAACAGCAACAGAGAAAGTACGATACATGTACTCCACATTCTTACAGATACTACAAACAGATTGCAGATCGTAATTCTTGCTTTAGCGGCACAAAACTTTATTTGGGGCAGTGCAATCTCGGCGGTACTCTTCACGAGGCGAGACTGCACCCATTGGCTTGTTTCGTATGAAACAAACAAGTTACTGTCCCGTCCACAATAGAGATTTCCCCTGATATGCGAATTTATTTTGCAAACTCGGTCAATTGATACTTGAACCTTTCCCTCCAGATTGGGAACTGCCAACGATAGTATGCCACTGACCAGTGCCTTACTTGTAACGTACCAATGTACAATGAATATGAGTATTTCGACAACACATCTTACATAAGCCTTACCGTCAAGAAGTTGAACTCGCGTTTTTCGCACACTGTAGACAGGGGCAAAGATATAAAAATGGATCTAAATCCGAATAAAATCAGCACACGTTTCCGTAAATGTAAGGTGAACATAAGCAAAATTAATGAATCGAAGGAAACTTAGAGATCACCTGTCATCGAGTATTCCGTAAAAGGAGGCCTCGCAGCTCGGCAGCAGAAAAGCAAAATTTAGAAAAGAGATCCTGTCAACTTTTCCATTATTTATTGCACTCCGCCCCAAAATCAGCACACTTTTCGTGAATGAAAGAGTCAACACAAGCAAAATGAATCAAAGGCAACTGGTCAACTCACCTGTCATTGAGTAATATTCCGCGAAAGGAGGTCTCAGCAGCGCCGAAACGAAATAAGCCAGGCCATGAGACGAAATATCCGAAACAGCTCATGCAAGAAGCAGTTCCAAAGAAGGAAGTTCTTCGCGCATGCACATCCGAACACGGATCCGCGGACTGCATGCACTGAACACAATGTCTGCCGTGCACGTGCACAGCACACGGCTACCAAGCGTTGGTATATCTAATACCGAGCACCTTACGTAGAGACTTACGTAGCCTAAGTGAAATACCGAGCACCTTACGTAGAAACTTACGTAGCATAGCGATGTCGTTTTTTCTGCCATGTGAACACAATAATAGAAAAGCTGACAGGATCGCTTTTCTAAATTATTTGTGGCCATTTCACACCGATGAGTGACCTTAGCTGACGGCGGTGGAAGGAATCCAGGCGAGACAGAACTGTCACACTGACCCCCCACGTACCCGAGTTGTACGTCAGTACTGGAATAACGAGAGAGCTTGGAAGCTCAGGGCCCTACGCTATGCTTTTTTTGCCTTGATGACCTAGACAAAAAAAAGCATAGGGATGTTATAAATTCTTTTAAAAAATCCTTTTTTTTAAGACATAACCTGGGATTCGAACCCGCACTATCGCGCGCCCTGCATGCATCCCCCGATACACTTCGCATACATTTGTTTGTTTATGTTATATGTCACGCCTGGCGCTATCCGTATCTGACGGCAAAAAAGCATAGGATGTTATAATTTTTTCAATTCTCCTATTTTTTTTTCAGGCATATCCTGGGATTCGAACCCGCACTATCGCCCTACATGCATTCCCCCATACACTTCGCATGCATACCCATTCTTCCAAGTTGCTTCACGTTATTAGACACCCTTAGCAAAAAACGTTATGTTGTAACGGTATTATCGTAAGGGGGAAAATACCGTGATTTGGGTTCGACCTTTAGGGCCTGGTCAGACTGCGGCAAAATCGAAATAATCCTAGGATTATAATCCGAATCTCCATAGTAACTTGCCGCCAGAGCGGCAAAAGCGAGAGTTGACGCTCCAAAAAAAAAGCAAGAACGGACCACGCTTTTCCGCTCCAAACAGGATTTGACGCTGATACGCCATTGACGCTGATAATCACTGATTTTTTCATCTCGATATCGAGGAGCTAATTGGCCACGGACAGCAACAAAACTCATAAGGATGGTTGCAAGGATTGCACTGAAGGTGTTGGCGATCCCCAAGGTGAAGGAATTTGACATCGTTCGTGGAGATTACCACTTGACGCTCGAAATGAAGTTTGAATTTTCACTCTCCCCACATGTGTAGTGTGATCGCGATTCAAATTCTGGACGCTGTTCTGTTTTCGTCAGGCAACCAAAATTTGCCGCAGTCTGACCAGGCCCTTAGCAAGATGCACGCTATTTTTAGTACGCTGTTGCCACTGATTTCGCGTGGTACAACCATTTTTGTCACCATATACGCGATACAAGGTGAAATGCGTGCGGACTATGCAATATTTGGCCAAAACACGTACCGTTGGTCACAACGATAAATCAGCCCCCATAACGTTTATACGCTGCAGCTTCAACGCTATTTGGATGATCAAGGTACGAGTACCGTAAAGAATAGCGTTACCGTTGTTTGCTAAGGGGCCGTCCGGGGTTACCGATTGTTTTCGCAAAACGAAATGTTTTAGTATTTTTCAGCCCCCACCCACCCACCCACCTTTTCTGCAGGTAAAACGAATTCCAATAAAATATTGATGTCAATGTTCGACACCCAGAAGTAACTGGGCATTCTCCATCTGCATTCAATAATTATTTTCAAAACGAAACTCTATCAAACCCACCCACCCCCAAACGAAAACTTTTCGTTTTGAAAATATTATTGGTAACCTTGGACAGCCCCTAACAGTCCGTGCGCCAGATTCAAAATATCGCTCTCTATCCGTGTTTTTTATTTTCCAGAATCAGTGGACTTCGAACTTTTTGAGCCGATTCTTGAGATTTTCTGGTTTATAGTCATTACGAGGTCAATTCAATTGTGCCATATAAGTCCCTTTGTCGTTCGAGTTCAGACCTGATACGCCGTCTATCGCCGTATAAGGTACAATTCTACCCTCAGTTTTGAAGGCTTGCACGCGCGGTGTTCTTGACCCGTGTAAACGTCACGTCTTCCTCGACTGTCGAATCTACAGCATTTCGGCACACGGAAGTTTAGTGGAGTGCCATCTGGTATTCCAGGCACGCGTAGTAACACACACTGCATCATCATCAACAGTGAGTATTCTTCTTTTAGCATATGTTCACTCGTTGGTGTCCAAGACCGAATAACACCACACCGACCCATTTTCCAACGTCTGTTTTTTCTCTATTTATATCAATATGTAGGACACTTGCAAACTGCACTCACAGAGTCACTATAAACACCATGAGTACCGGGCAGACTCAGAAATGCACGCCCAGCCAGTATCGACGGCATTGTGGACAATGCAAAGCAGTCATGGACAAACAAGTACAACGGAAATGTCCACACTATAGCGCCGTCTCAGCAAACCTGCGCGCAAAGGGCATATTAATAACGGAAAGTGACGTATTTTGTACAAAGTGCTACAAGGCACAATTGGAAATGGTAAAGATTGATGGCAGTGCAAGCACTGACCACAAAATCAAATCACTGATCACACGTCATGCGCAGATGCCGGATAATCCTCTGGCCAACACAATCGTGCTAGCAGGAAAGGCCCTGCTAGATGCAAGTGCAGTGCTGCTTGTAACACTACATGAGCACTATCAGCATGTGGCGACAGAGCCTCGAACCGCCAAGTGGCTCCTTGCCGAGCTAACAGCAGTACTGGGACATCACATGAATGTTGTGCACCCTAGCGTAAAGAAGAGAGGCATTCTCCTTATGCGGAAAGGCTGCAATACACAAGAGGTGCTGCATGATGTTCTCGCTCAACAGCGTCAAGCTGCATTGGCAGCGGATGCCATGGAACTTGATCCGGTACCTGAACAACACACAAGAATCGCACAAGACGGGGCAGTGTTAACCACAGCAGAAATAATGCACAGAATTATACAACGACAAGGAAAAGAATTCACAGGAAAGGAGTTTGAAAGCGATACCGCTCTTTACAAATTAAATTTTTCCAATGTTATCCAGACCACTCACCCAACTCTATGGAAGTGGATTTGGGTATCACTATATGGAACAAGTGAAGAACCACCCGCAGCAATGCCACAAACGAGGTATAATCAGACAAAATGCATGCGTGCAATTCAGGTGCTGTCCGCCATCTTGCATGCTGCAACACCCCAGTGCGTCTACCCGCTGCAGCTTGCAGTCGCAGATGTTGTGGAGACCTACAGTCACTCCACTACGCTGCTTAGAATGCTGGCAAGGCTGGGCATTACCGCCAGCAGGGACACATTCAGCAGGTATAAAATGCACGTCGTAGATGAACGACAGAGGAATGGGATCCAAGCTGAGATGCAGCTAGGCAGCATCAGCTTCGTGTCTATCGATAACATCGATAAAGACATGCCGTGGAAGCGGATGTATTGCCATGATCAAAAAAGGGGGTTTCATGGCACATCTGTGCAACATGTAAACCCCCAGCCCTCCACCAACAAGGAGGGCCAGGCCGAAGGACCACAGCAGACGGTACTGCCATTTGAATGTTATGACGGTGCGAGCAAGCAACATGATGCTCCGAGTGCTAAGCGGCGGCGCACCCAAAAAGAGAGCACCACCAACCCAGAGCCAGCAATACCCGCTATTGTTGTGTCGAGTGCAGTTTGCGATGTAGGTGACGGTGAGGATGCACCAGTCGCAAACTGCAACTCACACATGTTGGCCAACAACCCTGAGCACGAAGAAGGAAATAAAGATGCCACCGCGGATGCTCACAAATGGTACAGCCACACCGTTTTGAGCATCCGCAATTTTACATTGACAGACGAAGATGACAAGTGCATCAAAAATGTACAGCAGCAGGCGTTCACCCACCTGATCTCAACCAGCGGCAGTTCTGGCTTGAAAGGGTTCTTTCAGGAGCAAGGTGGAGAAATCCCTGAAACAGCAAATGTTGTGTACTTGGGTATCCTGGACAAACCGGCAGACAATAAAGACACAGTAAAATCAATCCTTGATGATTTGTACAGAACGTACGACATTGGAAAGAGTCTAATGCATTTGCTTGTTGTGGGTGACGGCAAAACGTACGACATCCTCCTCAAACTTCAAGAAGAATACGGGCAAAGTCTATCATGGGTAGTGCCATTTCCAGGTGATTGGCACACCTTGAAAGCGATTCAGCCTATTCTTATGAAAGTTTATTGGGACGCAGGTCTGCAGTCTATGGCCAAGGCAATGGGCGCGAAAGGCGAGGGTCTTAGTGCAATGGAACGGTGTAGCACTTTCAGAAAGACACATGAATTCATACTGCTTGCACACGAAGCGATTGGTCGCAGCATGTTGGCAGAATACAACAACATCCATTCCAAAACACCTACAATGGAGGAGCTGGAAGAGTTTGCAAACCAGCAAGATGATGATCTGTGGTCATTTTGGCGTAGGTTTTATTTCCGTGATGCAATTGCTTACATTTCGTTGTGGTCTGCAATTCGTGGTCGTGATTGGTCTTGCAGAATTGCAGCCATAAAGATGGCTGCACCGCTATTCCATGCATTGGACAGGACTACATACCTACGACTTGTTCCTCGGCACTTAGCTCACCTGCAGTCAATGCCACCGTCCATCCTGAGAAGTTTGCAGAGTGGCTGTTTCTCCGTTAGTCTCAATGGAACTTACTTCAATTCGGTTGCATTGGATGAGGCCCACGAGATGAAGATCAACAAGGACATGAAAATGTCCATGGTACACCCTGAAGCCGCATCGATTGATCGACTTACGTACTATCTACCTCACAGAGCGGCACTGTTGAGAGCGTTCCAAGAACAAGTTCTGCCAACCACTGATGAGCACTGTGATGATGAAGGCAAGGGCAAAAAAACACAAGAGACCAAACAAGGAAAGGAAAGAAGCGAAAATGTTGCGAGCATTTTACGTTTGATACAGACCAGCAATCTGTTCAAAACCGGCGTCACCAGGAAACTACAGAATTTGTTCACCGGGAGAATGGCAACAGATGCCGAGCGTGGAGACATGCTGGGTTTCTATGGCATTGGGCTGCAAGAGCTCATAGCATATGCCACCAGCAGGTTGTTGAAAGTACCAACATGTCTCCCGCCACGTCGACAGCAGCATCTGAAGACATTCGCTCCAGCGACGAAGCGCAAGAAGACTGTTAACCAGAAAGAGAAGGACCACAAGCTGGTTACTACTTGTCTGAAAAGAAGGTTAATGTGGAATCAAACTAACCAAACAACTGAATCATTAGCACAGCAGTTGATCACCATGCCACGAGCACTAACCAGTGACGGCCTAAAGCCCAGGACAGGCATGAAGAGCACAGCATCGAAACAATTGGAGGATCGATACAAGGATGTATTCGTAAACAGTTTGCCACCAACATTCGCAACTGCCAACACTGCTGTCATCTATGATGCTATGTTCTTGATCAACTCTTCGCCTCTTGCTTGTCACAACACCTTTGCCGACTATGGGAAGTTCATCATTCAGCGCTGGACAAGTCATTGGTACGAGCGAGGAGTCGGAAGCGTTCATTTCGTTTTCGACAATGCAACAACGCTAGCGACAAGCCCAAAGGCAATTCTCCGTATATCCAGGGACATGGCATCTGCAGGAGACGACACACAGCACGAACACATACCAGTTACGGAAAATGGAACCCTTCCGAAAGCTTGGCGCAAGTTTCTCGGTTGTCGGCAGTGCAAGCAGGCTTTGTGCGCTTTCGTTTCCCAGTACGGTTTAGGTAATGCTCAAGCATTTATGACCCGACCAAACCAATGTTTCATCACAGCAGGAGCTTTGGGTAACGGAATGAATGACATGGCTGTGGCAGCAGTCAATGGCAACACAACCTGTTTTCTCGTGCAGGACCTACAATCAAATGCTGAGGAAGCAGACAACAGGGTGTGGCTACATGCTTCAAAGTTTGAAACGGTCTTGGTTTACAGCCCAGACACTGATGTTTACCACATTGGAATGGCCATTGTCAATGGACGTGTCGAGCGGTCGGTGTTTGTACAACTGGACATGCCGGGGTCTGCACAGCACCGCTACTTGAATGTGACAAAATTGGTGAATAATATCCGCAATGACCCTGATCTGTCACAGGTAGCAGAGAATGTCCGGGTTAATGCTCTTCAGGCCCTATTCGTCTGCAGTGGCTGTGACTTTGTGTCTTTCTTTGCTGGGTTTGGGAAATGTTCCTTCTACAAATCCTTCTTCCAATTTGCTACCTTTATCACGGGTAAGAGCATCGCATTTGCAAAGTCATGAAGTCTATTGTGTGAGCGTGTGCACGAATGTAAGTTATGCGTGTTCCGTGTGTGGTTGTGTGTATGAGTATGTACATAAGAACATGTCCTTCGTTACAAATTCCACGCAGAGTGGGTAACTGAATATTATAATTGTTTTTGACGATGACTACACGATGACAGCATTGACCTGTGTGTTTGCCAACATAAGCTGCCTTTTCCAAAATGGTTTGAGCTACTTTTTGTACTGTCTATATTTGCTTATTATTTTATAATTAATGTGTTCAGGAGGTAAAGAAACGGGAACATTGACGGCGGAGGATGACTCCAGCTTCATGGCCTTCCTGCGGATGGTTGGTACACTGTACTACCAGAAGCACAAGGCAGCCTTCGACGCCAATGGCCCATACGACCTTTTCAAGCAGCTGCCGAGGGAGAATGCCGAGGAGCAGCACGAAGCCTGGCTGAACGCCATCAGGGATGCTGCTTGGCAACGTACCGATGCTGAGGATGATTGCCTGCCGTCCACCTCTGCTCTTGCCCTGCACTGGAAACGGAGCCTATGGGTAATCAGAGTGTGGCAGCAGGCATCAACACAAACAGTCACGTACCCTCCAATCCAGGAATATGGATGGCTGGTTGCAGACAATGTGGTTTCGGTCGAGTGGGATTCACCAACGCATATTGCAACAGTTACCAGCCGAGTTGCTGCATTGACCAAAGGTTGTACCTGCAAATTGGGTTGCAAGACCAAGAAATGCAAATGCCGGAAGAACAATGGAATATGTACTCCTGGATGCAAATGTCACAACTGCCATAATACAGCCGAGACTAGCAGGTAATTGGATGGTACTGTGACTGTTCTAGTATGCAAATGTGTCTTGGTCCGTTAGGCTAGCACCATAACGTACAGTGTAATGTTCATGTGTGGTGTTTGGTGTATTCGGTACAAGTAGCTTAGTATATACTGCGACGGTTGACTTTTGTCTTTGTTGTCTTTGTTTCAGTGTGCTGGTCTAAACCATGTCCAGGCTGTGACAGTGCATTCAGGAACCACAGCCAGCAGCACAGAACTCGTCACATTGGCCGTCTGTTATGCAAGGTTAGAGTGCATTCACCTCATGCTTCAAATTACGATACTAGTACTTGTAGGTGTGAAGCCCTTGAATTGGTTTTTGCAACTTCCCATTTTGAATACCCTATGCACAGTGAGTGATGTTTTCCTGGCATTGATTGAGGTCATCGTCTGTTTGCTTTGTTTTGCAGGACATTTTATTGAATGGTAAATTAATTTTATCTGGAAGAATAATACAAGACTCTCACGCGAATCCCACCAATCTGCATGGAAGGCTACACTGCAGAACTGTGATGTAAATTCGCTAAGTATGCCTTTTTCACATATAGAATAACTGCTGCTTGACCAGCTTCTAATCCATTTTCACTTAGAAAATGATATGCAAACTTTACAATAGACAGAGTTCAAAGATATACAAATTTCGCATTTTGGATTCTCAACAGTATCACCCTAACCACAGGCGCACTCAAAGTAAAGAGAACATATTTCTCTATCATATTAAATTACCTTGGATGCTTCTTTCTTCTTGTCATGCCATTTTCAACAAGGCAACACTTGTGCACGTAAAAATACCCAAAAAACAAATTTGAGATTTCATTTACTGCCATCAGTTATTCCAGGCAGGTATGCTCAAACCATTATCATCCCCCTACACAAGAATATGTACTTACTAAGATCCACCATGAGAGCTTGGTGTCCGCGGCTCTTGGAAAGCGTGGCTCGTCTATTTCTCGACGCCAGTCGGCGAAACCAGCAAATCGGCGAAAACAGTTTCTTACGTAAAGAAGGGACAAAACGGTGTTTGCGATTCAAAATTTCTACTCGCCGTCAAAGCACAACATTGAGCTCATCATATTCCATTGCTGCAATGGCAAAGGAACCAAGACAAGCTGCGAGAAAGGCCAAAATAGTCGCCAAATTTCTCCCCCAACTGCCATTATCGTCGTTATCTTCACCAATACAGTTTTGTGCAGACCTTTTCCCGCGGGATCGGACCCAGGAAAATGAAAACGGCCCACTCAGTGGCCTGGCGCACGGACTGCTAAGGGTGTCTATTATCTTGCGTTTGAAAGCCCTATTTGAATATTGCGGGCAGCTGTATGTGGCCAGCTGTGTTTGATGGTACGGTACGGTACGGGAGACGGTGTCGTATTACCCTCGATCGTACATGTCCCGTACCTATCCCCTACCGTACCGTGCCATCAAAGACGGCTGGCCACAATGCATATTCAAATAGGGCTTTCAAATGCAAGATCACAATGTGAAACAACTTGGAAGAATGGGTATGAATGCGAAGTGTATGGGGGAATGCATGTAGGGCGATAGTGCGGGTTCGAATCCCAGGATATGCCTGAAAAAAATAGGAGAATTAAAAAATTTATAACATCCTATGCTTTTTTTTGCCGTGGTGTAGGTGACACAAACACACAAACAAATACCAAACGAGAGAGCTTGGAAGCTCAGGGCCCTACGCTATGCTTTTATACTTTCTTGCCTAGCTCATCGTACATGTTATAAGAACTGAGGCAAAAGTATTTGCAGAATTTATTGCGGATTGTTATTTCTCTAATAATCATCTTCTTTTGGTTTGCTCCTTCTTTTCTTTTTATCTCCTTATACTGTAAATCAACAAATTTTGGCTGATCCCTGCTGCTGTCAACAAGCGCCTTTCCGCTATATCGAGCGACGCGGAGGCATTCAACCATGCAGCCCCCGTGTACCAGACCGCATTAAAGGCCAGTGGATACACCGAAGTGCTGAGCTTTCAGCCCGAGGCACATGAGCACAGGGGCAGGAAGAACCGCAGCCGGAAGGTCATATGGTTCAACCCTCCCTACTCCAAAAACGTTAGCACAAACGTCGCTGGTAGGTTCCTGAGCCTTGTCTCCAGGCACTTCCCGAAAACATCGAAGCTCGGGAAGATTTTCAACCGTAACACTCTGAAAGTGAGCTACAGTTGCATGCCCAACATGGGAGCGGTCATCAGCAGCCACAACAAGAGCAACCTGCGAGAGCCAGAACAAACCAAGGCATGCAACTGTAGAATCAAGGAATCCTGCCCGCTGCGCGGAGAGTGCCAGACGAAGGAGATTGTGTATGAGGCCACTGCAGAATCTACCAGCAAGATTTACATCGGCCTATCAGAGACACCTTTCAAAGCCCGTCACGCCAACCACCTGACCTCCATGCGTCATGAAAAATACAAAAACAGCACTGAGCTCGCAAAACACGTATGGGAGCTGAAGAGCGAGGGAAAGCCGTTGACCATTACATGGAAGGTGCGGGAGAAGAGCCGATCATACAGATGTGAGTAAAAAAATGCCTATTGCCCGCCACCCTCCTGGCACCTCAACCCATCTGCTGTACACTGCCTCCCCTTCGCCTCTTTCCGCGCTTTCATGCTCACACCTGCCTATTGCCCGCCACTAGGCCCCCGTGTAATATGCCGGCATTTTTTTGAGCATTTTCGGTACCTCCGCGAACCAAGCACTTTGGGCTCGTGATGCAGCATTTTGGGGGAAACGGAGCACTTGGCCGTTGTGTATCAAAATTGAGAGAAGAAAAACTTCCCAAACAAGAACGTCACTTCCGCATTCCGTGGGTTAGCTTCTTGTTGAGTAGTTTATGAATGCAGACTCGAGCAAGTCTCTTATTGAGTATTTTCTGACTCCCTGGTTTTGACGGCGTGTGCTGAGGATAACAAAAAAGTGAGCATTTCCGAGCATTTACGGCAATGTTTGGGAGCATTTTCGACAAGGTTTGCGAGAATTTCCCAAAAGCATTTTCGGCAAAGTTTCGGGCATATTACACGGGGGCCTACCCGCCACCATCCTGGCACTTCCCCTGTCGCGCCTCAGACCGCGCCAGCTTTCTCCCCATACCTCACACCAGATTTAGCGCTAAATTTGTTTATGCTTGTGGCCCTATGTGTGCATACTGTTGGGTAGACCCGAGTATCAGTCCGCGATATTCATGTTAAAACAAAATGGCGTCACGATTTATTGAAAGTGGTATAGTTGGTGGTACGAGTGTTCAAAACCATTTGAACTTCATACTGTTCGTCTTCTTTTTGACATGCTCTCTTTCCATCGTCCTTAGCTTTTGTTTGTTGAGAGCTGTTTTGGCTTTCTCCTATACCTCTGGGGGATGCCAAGTGATGGTTTTGAGAGGCTGGTGATGGCTGTGAGCGAGAGTTTGCCGATCGGCGTCGTCCTCGCTATAGCGATGAAAATACTAGTTACTGCGCACCTGGCAGATATCACAACACGTCGGAGCGTCCAGGAGCAAAGGAATCTTGGGTTTTCACTGGAATCTAGTTCCTCCAGCATCGTGTAGCCCACCGTCGGTGAATGGCGGTCCAGAAAGGTCGAACCTGGTCTTCTGCAGCATCTCGCAGTCCTGCGAGGCACACTGAATACGCCTGTCATGTATTCTACAAATAAAAATCACGAAGTAGTGGACTTAACAGTGATGAGTCTATCCTGTATGCTGCAAAAGATGCAGGAAATGTGACTGGTGTCTGTACACTCAGTGACTGGACGCCAACACCCCAGTCTTCTCCTGCAGGATCTGTTTGACATTGACATTATGCAGTAGGTCGGCATTGACCTGGTTTGGCAGCTATCGTAATAGTATCTGCCTGGTTGGATGTAGCAGGTTGGTGTTTGCTCGTCGTCCAGTCCGGAATTTTCTTGTAACTCACGGTAGAGTACGCGCAGGGTTTGTGATCATCCCTGTTCACTTCAATATTATCAAACACAACGTTCCCTTTGTCACTCATCTTATCCTGAGTACTGAATTTGCTGACAATATTGCACCACACTTGTCACAACCTACCGCCATTGCTGGCGGTGGCGGCTGGTTCGTCAATGGCGGTGACCAGGCTGACTGACTAGCTTCGAGACAGCGGCCTCGTTGTCAACCCCGCGGCAGCCTAAAGGTTGATTTTATCGATCCAGCTTCAGCGCCATGTTGACGATGCCCTAGTGACTGTGTATCATAGATTGCCTTGCCATCAGCGGTCATTGCCGTCCACCTTGATGCAGCCCTCAACAACTGGCTCAGCCCATGGGAGTCTCAAGTGGACAAAGTTGTTGCCAAAGTAGCTCAGAAGATTGGTGCATCGTGGTGTAGGTGAGCACAAAACTAGGACTTCCCAGCGCCTATTTGTCCAGGCTGCGATACTATGCGACATGCTGCACTGCACATTCTTTTCAGCACTGCAAGGCCGGCAGCTGGACCGACTGCAGGGGCCGCGCACATGCAGGCCGCCTGTTGCCAGTGCAGCATTCTGGAACGTTCCTTCCTTCTGAGATCCGTGGAATAATAACTTTCTTTGCTTCAAAGCAAGTTGCTTACCTTTCTGTTGTGCTCCCAGTGTCCTTACAACAAAAACCTACAGCAATGTTTTATTTTCCTTTCCATTCCCCAACCAATGAATACTACGATGTCGATTCTATTTCTTCATACTTTGGTGTGTGCCCGCGCACGCACGTGTGTGTGTGTATACCTCACTCGCCACTCGAAGTTCTGTTCCCCATCACTGGAACACTGCCTGTTCTTTCAGGACCTGCCATCATCTGCGGATGGGCATTCAATGATTGTGTTGTGTGTGTGTTTCATTCAGAATCAGATCCGCTATCGTTGCTATAAGAGAAAATCTGTGGGTTCACATCCAGTGCATTTTTAGATTTGCGTGCTTTTCTCGCCACGGGTGCATACATGGGACATTGTGTGTGTGTGTGTGTGTGTGTGTGTGTGTGTGTGTGTGTGTGTGTGTGCGTCTGTGTGTATGGGGATATTGTCTGTATCGGCTTTTGGTACTAATGTTCAGGTCTGTGCTTGCATGTGTGAACATGAAGTTGTTCGGTTCTGTGCATGCTATTGCTATGTTGTATATTATTGTATGTATGTGTGCATTTCCACGAACAGTGTAGACGAGCGTGGAGAGTGCATTCATCCCTCATCAACCACTTCCCCTTGGGCTTACGAGAGTTTTTTCTGCGTACCTCTCATTTTTGTTTGTTTCTCTCTGATACTGTACTGATGCCGGTACCTGTACCTCGATGTGTTCCTCTATCTGCAGTCGCCTTTAACCTTCGGTCAAGTTAACGTTTATTGTGCTCTATTTATCGTGCGAATCAAAATAAACAATAATAACACAAGTCGTGCTAGAGTGACGACATGTGCGTGTAGTAGGGTTGATGCGATGGGACGTTATAATTAGGTGGAACAGAACACACATTGGGCAGATTGATTGGGCATCATTGACTGTGCTCAGTCTAAACAGTGAACATAATAATTATCTCCAGTGACAGACTGTAGCGGCTAGCCTCCAATAGGTAGCTGGCACTAGTCGCTACTGCTTGTTTGACAGGTGCCGCCAGAACCCCTGTTGTGTCATGCTATAGATGCACATGCCCTGTTCTGGGGCATACTGAGGTACTTTGATTTTGTTGACTGCATGTAGACAGCATCCAATAGTAGTACTCGTAGACCTTGGCTCTTTGTAGTTCAACCACCATCGCATGGATCGATCGGTGACTATGCACTTGGAGGTTGGAATAGCCCGCGCTGAACAGATCTTGCCATGGCCCAGGGAGTGAACTCGCTTACTCGACTATCCCGGT